AAGCATCAGCTTTTAAACACGACTTTAAAATAAGAAAACTCCAGGATCTTCCAGTGTCGTCTCTTTTGTGCGATCTCTCTGAAAATAAAACAAAGATTAGTCAGACTCAAAGGGTTTGATACATATGCATCATCGCTGTCAGGTTGATGTCAGTTTTAACGTTTCAGTTTGGTTTAATTAAATCTCTGATAATCTCATCTGATCACAGTAATAATCCCCGTTTGCATTCAGTTTGCTTGGATTTTGCCTGTTCGGCTACATAGATAAAGGGCCCTTTCATATAAATGGTGGCAGCTGTATCTGAAGATTGTATGTCTTCTTTTGACTGAGGGTCACCACAGCAGATCATCTACCTCCATCTTACCCTATTCCTAACACCCAACACCAACCCTCCGCTTCACTAACTCAGAGCTGTCCCTGAGCTGATGAAGTCATTTCTAATCCCCAACATCTCAGTCACGCCCAACGAAGCATCTTTACCTCATGTTCATCTGCCACCTCTAGCTTTGCATCCTGTGCTGTAAATAATAAACATAATGTCTCCAACAGATGTAATTCATAATGATGTCAGTGTATAAATAATACTTTTTAATATCTGATTGCAAAGAACAGTCCTGTACTATGATACAGGCCTTGAGGCTGAGCAAGGGGTCTTTAGCCTTGAGGTCTTTACCCACTGAGGAAAAAAATAAACAACACAAAATTCAAAATCTTTTGGATCTGAACTTGTCATGTAACGCGTATAGACACTGAAAGGGTTTTTACAAAAGGTTTACCCTCAGAAAAACTAAATCTAAAGAGAATGAAGTCGACATGAAGCGATGATGAGCTGGTCCTGATGGAAGAAACTGAGATTCTGGGTTCATCCGATTCTCAGAAGAAGGCAGCAGCAGGGAGAATTTCATGGTTTGATCCAGCACTAGAAGCTGTATCATAGCAGCTTTCGTACATATTTCAGGATGTCAGTGGGGCAGTTTCAGCTCTTGTCAGCAGAGCTGGAGCCACATCTGAGAAGGCTGAGAAATCATTTCAGAGTCCGACTGACCTGAAGCAGCGTCCAGCTGTGTCTGAGGTAAAATAGTGTTATCTTACTATTTCTATATCACTGTTTATTAAGTACTGGCACACATTTTGAGCTATGATTGCACTTGTTGCCAAATGCAGTGACCTGATTGCTCAGATCTATTCATTAAAAAAAAATAATCCTGTGAGAAACTGAGAATCAATGAACCCAGAATCTCAGTTTCTTTCTTTCCTTATCTGAAAATTTTAGTTTTACAAAGATTTTTCAAGTCTTACTGGGGTATCACCATGGTAACTTATGCTGTTATATCTGTTAAGAGATAAACAAATATGAATCAACCTCCCAGTGACCAATCAGCTGTCTAAAAACAGCACCACCGCCTCTGTGCAGATACAAAGAGGGTCTATGTGATGAGCATCAATGAGAAATATTAAGATCTTGGAGAATATGTTTAAACTTTTTACTTTTAAAGCAACTTTTTTAAAATACGTTCCTAAAACACAATACCTGAGCCTCATTGACCTTTTATTCAGAAGGCAGGTAAATGAGCTGACTGCTGACATCAGGTAAAGAAAAGCTATTCTGGGTATGTTGAACTTGCCTCAGGTGCATGTAAACATCTTTATTTCTGAGTTTCAGTAAAGGCGGGTGTGTCCTCACCTATAAATTGAGGGGCTCCTCCACCGATGCCCCCAGCTGCACTAAAGCGTCGCTAAGTACAGCCTTCAGCGCTGAGTAATCGGGCTGCTCGGAGTACTGCAGAGCCATCACTGCAGTCAGGTACGTTTGAAATGCTCCTGCAGCACAAAAAACAGAAAGATATCACCAAAGAAAATGCGGGAAAATGTGGTATATGATACAGAAGAAACACTGGAACTCACTGGAAACACTCCTCCTCCCAAAGCACTGGCTCAGAAGTGCAGGAACATCCTCCATGTACCTACAGCCATGTGTTATTTGCATTTTGTTTCACACAGAAGGTTAAAATTACACAAAAATGACAGATTATCTCTCTCTTACCTCTGTTTCTCGGTGGCTATCTGCTGTGGTTGAGTGAGCTCGGTCCACGGCAGCAATCCAGTGTGCCAGTGCAGCATGCAGTAACCCAAAGACTGCAGGTCGCTGCGGCGAGATGGAGCTGAAAGAGTGTGATGACAAAAATCAGTTTTTAAAAAAAAAAAAAAAAACAGACCTCAGGTTTACAAAAACATCTCGTTTTTCCACGAGTGAAATTTGTGCCTTTTAACTTCAAAAACTGTAAAAACTGTAAAAACAAAAAACAGCTTCACATGTGAAAATAAAATCATACTAATGTGAAGCCATGGATGTTGCCAGGCAGAAAGAAAAAAGGAAAGCCACAGAGAAGGATGGATGTAGTGACGCAAATGGTTGGTGTGACGGAGGAGGATGGTAGATGATCCGCTGTGGCACGAGCAGCCGAAAGAAGAAGGAGAAGCAGATGTGAAGCCAGTGTTTGGCCAGATGGAGCGTGATCAGAGCGCTCTGGTTTACAGCAGCTTACACGATGAAGTATGATTTAGTGACACTGACAGACTACAGATGGCTCAGTGGACCACAGGGGCAACACACCTGCTCCTTTATGCGCATCCAGGCTGATGAACTGGACGGTGCCCTCGTGTGGCGTTCGGCTGGCTTCACGGTACTCCACATGCTTTCCTCCTGGACCGTACCTGAAGGCATGGCAGTATCCTACAAGGTACACCTAGACACACAAACACACACACACACACACACACACACAGAAGCATCCTGGTTACACACACTTCAGGACAGAGTAGTGCAGTTTGAAGCTCAGAGCATATCTCACCTGTGACCTCTGTCCTTGTTTTATGTACACGTTCTCGGCACTGATATCTGCATGAACGTATTCGTTTGAATGGATGTAGTGCAGCACATCTAACTGCAAGGGAAAAGAAAAGTTAGTCTCTTAACGCTTTATCGCCCAGGCCTAATGGATTTATTTTGTCATTCTGGCTCTAAAATTAAAATAATAACTCATCTTTCCAAAACCATTAGAGTTTTGTCTCTAGCGCCTGTGAAATGGGAACGATGGGCACACATAAACAGGTCAGCACAAAGAAAAGTAATCACTGTGCTTTCCAGTTCTTCTCAGACACACAACTCCAGCTGTGAGCACAGAAGCCCCACCCACTTGCTGTCCAAGCCTTCCATTTGTGAAGGTCAGCCAATCAGAAACCAGCTGGCTTAAAGAAGTGGGTCTCAGGAGTGGAGCAGGAGCTTTTTTTGTGTGTGTGTGTTTTTTTTTTTTTCTTCAGAGGTGACGCTCAGCTATTGATTAAAATGACCAAGTGGGATTATTTATGACCTCATTATATTTTACACAGATTTTTTTTAATGGCTCTGTATGTTTATCATTTGTATACAGTTTCCTTCATCTACCTCACACAATGTGAAAGCTCTTCATCGTTACTTTGTGCATGGAGTTTCTGCAGTTTTAAATGTCGCTGCTCTACCTCTGTTAGTGCAAAACATCACAGTTTAGTGAACAGAAGTGGAAAATTACATAATTGGATACATATTTCTGTTAAATATGAAAAAGCGTGTAGTAGAAGTAAATCAACAAATGCAATGCTAGGAAATATCTTTATGGCTAAAAATCATACATAGCGCACGCACGCACGCACGCACACACGCACACACACACCTCGCTGAGCCTGGTTCTGCCGGAGGTTTCTTCCTGTTAAAAGGGAGTTTTTCCTTCTCACTGTTGCCAAAGTGCTTGCTCATAGGGAGTCAAATGATTGTTGGGTTTTTCTCTGTATGTATTATTGTAAGTTCTACCTTACAATATAAAGCGCCTTGAGGTGACCGTTGTTGTGATTTGGTGCTTTATAAATAAAATAAAATTGAACTGAACAGAGGAAGGTTAAAGGAAGAGGAGCTAAAGCAGCTCGTTTCAGACTGTGTCTACACAAAAGTCCAGTAAGAGATAAATAAGCATTATTAAGAAGAGAAAAAAGTACAAAAGGTCCACTTCTAGAGTATTTGTGTGACTAGACAATTTGAAAACACCAACTATTCTATAGGCCAGCTGAAGAACAACTTCCTCAGAAAGAGGCTGATTTTCTTTCTCGATGATGGACTGGAGCGACTCGCCAATGCTGGGAAAAATTAGAAACCTACAGAAACGAAAATAAAATGAAATTAATGGAAACAGATTTACAGGTCAAAGTAAAATTCTTTCATATGTTTTGTATGTGCAGGTAAAGCTCACACCTGTACGAGTCTGTATGGAGACCAAAGCCAACACAGGAAGGAATCCCCAGGAAATCCAGCTTGTTTTGCTTGACCCACTTTTCCACTACAGAGAAAACAAGTCTTAGTAGGAAAATCATCACACAGGCAGAAAACACTGTGTATATGTACAGATGCACTGCCTTCAGAGTCTGAAAAGTCAGTTCAGAAAAGTTTTCAATCTACTCTTCTGGCTACAAAACAAACATCTATGAGAAAATGACCCTTATCATTGAATACACCTCCCTGAAGAGTTCATCACTAAATCAACAGCTTAAAAGCTTTGAATATCACATGATGGTCAATCTGTAATTCACGGCCCCTGTTAGAGATTGCGGCCCTCGCCGTCTGGTTTAATAAAACTGAGAATGTGATGACAGAAATCGTCAAATCAAGGTTTTAAAACAGGAGTCCACAAGCCAAAGGGTGAAGTTGCTGTGCTGTGATGAGGGTTAAAGACACAACAATGCTCCTCTGATGCCTATCAAGTCAAACAGATGTATTACAGCTTCATGCCTCAGCTGTTAGTGTTTCTTTCTCTGACTCATTTGTCGCCTTTGAGAATTTAGTTTTGAGTCACCTGTTAATTTAAATCCTTTGTGTCAAAGTGAATGTCCTGTGCACAGACAAAACATCCTAACCCTCCGTAGGTGATAGAAACAGTCACCTTATCCTCTGTCTTTATTGAAATCAGAATAAAGTCAGCTTTGGGAGCTAATTCTGGTAATTATGGGCTTCTAAACGTGACAGAAAAGCACAATAAATCCTCACCAGATGCCGGTTTAGCAGCTCTCTGCAGAAAGTTCTGTTCATTGAAGATTCTTCCATCTTTAGCTCCCTAAAAGTGAAAAACAAAATATAACTTTGATTTTTTTTGGCACAGGGAAACTCAGGAGCAGAAGAAGCATTACAACAAAGTAGAGAGCAATTCAACGGATTATTGGTAAATAAATTGAAAAGCAGATACATTTATCTACCGTTTGTACTCACCAGTTTGAGGGTGTGATTCAACTCCTTTGAGCTTGGCCGAGAAACTGAAGAGAGAAAAACCGCTTTATTCATCTGTGATCATAAAATGTTCTATTAATATTTATCTTTTCTAAGTCAATAAATAGTCAACTGGTTTATCCTGCTGGAGTGCAATGCAGTGTTGACCAGCTACACTGGATTAGTCCTCTTTTTGCTTTAATAAAGTTTACTGGACTCAAACAGATATAATATAGACTTGACTTATTGCATTAAATGTGGGCTGCAGTTATTATGTTTCCCTATTTGTGGTGTGCTGTAGTTTATAGTACATCCAGTACTACCACCACCAACCACTTTAAAGGTTAAAAACCTTGATGAGGGGCATGATTTTTGTAAATCACTCCAGCTTTGGTTGTACTCTAATAAAAAAATCTGCATGTAGAGAATTTGCTGAAATGCAATCTCAAATCCATGGACTATCATCTGCCAGCGATGTTGGGTTACTTAACGTAATCCCTGGTTCTTTGATAAACGTGTGAGGGGTTTCACTATGGGAATACAGACCACTCGAGCTGTGCTCAGAGCCGATCAGCCCTTCCCTGCTCATCATCAGTTTCTTCCCATGAGAAACCACACCGAGCTCCTTCAGCACACCCAGGCTGATTTGGATGCCAGAACATCACCGAACACGCTGCACTGAGTGAGTCCTTTTAAAGACGTGTGCTTATAGTTACACTCTGGGGACAGCGGCCATATTCCTTCTCAGTGACGATAACAGCTGGTCGATGCATCACAGAAACTTCTGCTGCAACAACTCAACTAGACTTCCCTCAAACACGTTTTCTGCCAGCTGTTCATATTGAGTTTGCTCAGTGGGACACAGGACGTCAGCGATCACCACGACTATTTCACGTGAGTCAAACTCTTCAATTGTACATTTGTCTTTGTTTTCATTTCTTCCCCTTATGTCTTGTGACCAGTCCTACCTTCGTAGAGCAGCTCGGTTGCGCTCTGACTGAGCTGCCTGATCAGCTTCCACTTCTTGCCGGTCGTGTCGGTCACCTCCTCACCTTCAGGCAGCGGTTCCACAGAGGATGCATGCTTTGCCTTCCTGCCTTTATTTTTTCCAGTTGCTGCAAATTAATAACAACACTTCAAATTAATTAGTGCAGGAATATTCCCCCCACCCACACACACACACACAAAATTACACACCTAAAGTATGCTGTGCTGTGATCGACTCAACAAAATAGAATTTGTAAAAAATTTCTGCACACTAGAAGAAATGGAAGAAAGAAAGACGACTATTTCTTTTTACTGATTTTAATTTAACTTAAGTTTAATTTATTGATAAATTTATTTTACTGAGCTGAAACTAGTCCACGCTGAGAAGCTTCGGGTTTAGTTTTTATTATTACTATCTGCCTCTCGTGTATCAGAAGGTTTATGTGAATTCTGTTTATAACAGTGATTACTAAAGTGTGGGCTGCAAAGGTACTGCAGGTGGGCCACAGAAACACAAATTCAGTTTGAAATTACTCACAAGTATGTACGCACAGAAAGCATTTAAATATTTATATAAAAGTGAATTAGATCCATTAACAAGTGGTTAGTTTGTGACTTTACTCCTTAGTCTTAACTACATGTAATGTTCTTGTATTGAAGTTTGTGTCCGAGTGGCAGGTTTGTCACACGTTCTCCTTAAAAGCTTTCCACATGACTGATGAGCATTAGGAATTTATAAACAACAGCCTGTGTTGTTTATGTTTTTTTAATTACATTTTCAAGGAAAAACATCATCTTCCCTTGTTTTTGATTGGATTTAAGATTGGGGCCCCCCATGAGATTTTCTGGTATATAAGTGAACTATA